ATTCCACGGGTCCTGAAGTTTATGGTCGGGTATTCACCTCAGTGGCCCTGAGGGACTCGAAGTGGTGACTATTGGGGAATAAACCCAATACTTGACCAATTGAGCGACTCGTCAAGGTTTATATAACTAAATAAAAATTAAAAATAAATACAGCAATAAACTAGTCAATCAAAGCACATTGATCTAGTAGAGAATCAGATATCAAAATCAAGATCCCATTTTTTTGTTTAAAGAAAGACAAAAAGAGGAAAAATCAATACCTGACCCTTTTCACCAACAACAAGCAAATCATCAGAATCATCATCATCATCATCTACTTTACTATTCTCGACAGCCAACAGCTTATCCGGGTCACCATCCAGAATCACACACTCGTCATCATCACCGCCATTATAATTTACAATTTTCGTAGAGGAATTTGAAGAATTTAATCTTGCTTTCTTTGGCTTGACAACCACCTCATCCACCAGAACCACATCATCAGAATCATCGGAACCTCTATCCATTTCGTCTAATATCCCCGAGAGCCAATCTCGGTCTTCGCCGCTTCCGCACCCGCCGCCCCGTCTGACCTCGCAGAAACTGGAATCATCATCGGAGCTTATTTCTAGTATTACTGGGTTCGAATTTTCCATCACAATTGAACCATTCGATTTTCAAACGCTGAGGAAATCTCTTAAATTATTCATCCTTCTCCCGCTAAACACATAAAATTCAACAAATTACCCTTTTCTTGAAAAGCAAAACAATTTCAGGAACGAAAAGAAGAAGTTACTGGGTCTTGAATTGCTATCAGAAAAAGATCAAAAGATACATAACGAAGTACAAGAAAAATTGGGTTATGTGACGAGTATAATTATGCAGTAATTGCGACTCTAACAAAAGAAAGTTCATTACTTTATAAGCAAAAGAACGATTGGCTAAATTTGATAAGATTTTTAAGGGCATGAAAACCCTAATTCAAGTATTGGAAAAAGGCAAACTGACTTTGGAAAGTAGTCTTCAGATTTCTATTTAGGAAACAGAGCATGAATGTGTGTGCGCCGTGTGAAATGGGTTGGTTGAGTCATGACCCGGCCAGAGCTGGCAAATGGGGGATTTTGCAAAATGACCTATGAATAGTAGCTTTTTAAGATTTTTGTTAAAAAGTCAATTTTACCCTTAATGAATTGGGGCATTTATTGCAAAACAAGTCGTTAAACTTTTTATTCGTCATCACTAGACGTTTCTT